CAGCCTCCGGCGGAGCGTGAGCGCTCCCCGAGGAGCTCCGCCGTTGCTGCGGCCCACAGGGAGCTCACGGCAAGGGGCCAGGGCAGCTCCCGCAGCAGCGTGCACCTCAGACGCATGTTTCTGATAATGCATACAGTCCTCTTAGCTTTAAGCGTAGATTCCCGAGAACTTTAAACTTGTCTTCCTGAGAACAGCGAGAGCGAGGATGAATAGATGGAGGCGAGTGCAATGCCCCAACTTGATACACTGCAAGCTGCTTCCTGAGTCCATAACCTACAGAGAACCCAAGTATAAGCACATGGGCTTATTTCAGTCCTCCTCTGCTATCTGCTAGCAGAGAGATCAGTGCCTTTTGTTGTGGATTTGAGCTGCTGCTTTGAGCTGTGGGGAAGGCCACCCAGCTCCCCAGGCTGCATGACTCGCAGCCACCCTGCTAAGGCACTCACGCCCGCCTTCCAGTTAAGCCAGCTGTAAATAAAAACAGCTAGGATATTTTTTTTTTTTGTCTAATAACTTTGACAAAGCACCTCACAGCCATACCAGTGAGCAACTTTGAAGTCATCTTGAATTTCTGCAGGATTTTCTCTTGTGTCAGTTTTCCTTGTCCTTTATTAAGCAAACACAGGATCGGGCGTGATGCTAAGCTGGCAGTGCTTGAACCAGAGACAAAGCCTCAGTTCATCCCCATGACAGAGAAAAGTACAGTTCAGGCTACTACCCGCAAACTCTTTATCACACTAATTTTACAGATATGTGAGTCTGTTATTAGTAGCATTTCCCACCAATGCAGAGCCAGCATAGACTTGCAGTCAGTATGACTCCGTATTGCAGTTTGACAAAAAACATAGGGGAAGAAAGAGAAAGAGAGAAAGAGAGAAAGAGAGAAAGAAAGTCCCAGTAAGAATACCAGCAGGATTTTTCCTTAGGGGAATACAGTTTTAGGGGCTCTGAAGACAAAATGGCTGCTCTGTATTTGAACGCAGGTGGGGAGCTGAGGCCAGCTCATAAACAACTGGGCAAGCCACAATCTTCCAAGAGTTACAGGATGCTCCCATGATTTGAAGTGCTTTGAACCTGTGTTGCTCAGAACAGAGTGCGTGGCAAAGTGATGAGACCTGTGTAGCACACGAGGGGGAGTGGAGCAGCACAGCGGGTTAATGTGGCCTTTCCGTGAGGGAAATCGTCTCTCACCTGTGTTGAAATTGTGAGGCAGATGACAGATCAACATGAGTTTGCTATGTGGCTCATTGCAGGGCCCCAGGGACATCTCTCAACCTTATACAACCTACTTCACAGCACATGGCCCCACTGGCAGCCAGTGCAGGACAGGGGGAGGACAGGGTCAACACAAGGTGCCAGTGACCACTTACACATTGGCAAAGCCATGCTGGAGCCGCAAGGCTGGAATAGGCAAGCTGATTCCTCAGAAGAGGAATAATGCACGGCCATCCCTGCCCATTGCTAAACAAAACTCTTCATCTCACTTTCATACACTGTAGGTTTTTATGCAAATAGTTCTTATAAGCTGTTGTAGAAATAATTCTAGATCCTTGAATGTATAGTCCCAAGGGTTTCAGAAAGGAAATATGACGTTCTTTTCTACTTAGTCCACATGTGTTGTCTTTTATATTTTGCACACACACCGTACAAAATTAAAAAATTTAAAAAACCCTGTGGTCTGTCAAGACCTGGCTGAACTCATAGATGTTACTCTGCTTTAGCTGTACCACCTTAATTGAAGGATAACTGCTTGGCATGGGCACTATCATATTGGAAGAAATGTGTGTGTCATATAGCTTATAATTGTACAGAAAAGGACTAAGAGGCATCTTTAGAAGTGAAAACCAGGACAAGCACAATACCAGAGAGACACAAGTGAAAGTATTTGGTTTGTCACAGATGAATTCTGTGACTTTTGGCAGGTTAAGCCATCTCCCTGGATAGGTATATTCTATTTGGAAAGACTGCTGTGCGAAGCGGCTCAAATGCAGTGTATGCCACAGCCAGCCTAGGCAGGCTGACGGGGTCCCCCAGCCCAGAGCTATGCCCCAAAGCACTGGCACCCCGCGAGCCTCTAACCTGCAGGGGGCAAAGGCACATCTCCATCAAGCTCCTTTCCACAGCTTCTACAGCTTTAATGCTGAGATGACAGCACCTCATGGTGTCTGTGGAACTGTGCAAGGACAAATGCATTTAAAGACTGTGATGCTTTCATATAAAATGGTAAAGGGAGGACGTATAAGATCCTTAGACAGAAAACTGCAACTTTACTGTTACCTGTGTCGACATAAGTACATTCAAAGAAAAGTCACCTCTTTCCTTCAGCTAACATATAACAGTAATAAAAAGTGTGCAGATTGTGGCACAATGCATTGAAGTAAATCAGGGTGAAAAAAAAAACATGCTGAGAAGGGAACATTTATGTGCATCAACAGTTCTGGATAAAGAAATTTATAGCAAAATGAGACAAACAGAATGTCAGAACAATCTCCACAGGGCTCAGTTCAGCTACTTTTGAATGTTATACTTCTATTTCTCTTCAGTTTTGCATTCTGAAGCTTTTGTGTATGCTTGTGCAGGGAATACTCCCCATGTACATTTTGGTTATAAATAATGGGTACTGACTGGACTTTAAATCTTTTCTATTTCCAGAACTGAGGCGTGAGGCTCCGTAAGTGCCCCCAAGTGGCTTCAATTTCTGTCCTCAACAAAAGATATCAAAAGAAATGCAGGCATGCCTGTCCTAGAAAAAAACATGCAGAAGAAAGAGAAAGATACATGCAGTAAAGATGAGACAGTAAGTGACTGTTTCTGGGAAAACAAAAAGAAACAAAAAGAAAAAAAAAAGGTTGAAGATAGATGACAACAGCTTTTAATGCTGTAAATTAATACAATTATTTTAAACCAAGCTCGGTTCCAGATTTCTTCTTTCCAGGGAACACTAGTTATCCTGCAGCAGTTTATAATCAGGAACTTTGATCTAACATTAGTGCTTCTCATATCCAAATACATCCTTCCTCCCAACATGCTGTGAAGAATTCCAGTAAGTGAAATATTGTAACACAACAGCAGATGCATTACTACTCAGGCAAAGATGGCACGTAATTATTTCTTAATAGTACAGAACTATCAAACTATCACATATGATTAATTTTCAAGCTGGTTTAAAAGATGCCAGATGTGTATGCCTATAAGTAGTCAACCCCCTGAGTTTAAAGCTTTTTTCCTAAGCAGAGTCATGAACTGTACAGTAACCTTATCCAGAAAGATAGGGCCAAAGCCAGGTAACAAAAAGAAATACTATTTGGCACACCTATTTCTACTGACCAAGAAATCAATGACAGAAGAGATATACCCTGACTAAACGTAGTTTCAAACTGTAGAATTACCATTCTTTTATTTCTGAGATCCAGGGTACATTACAGGCTAAATTGGATTTTCATTTCCATTAGTAACAGGTAATCCTATGACACTTTCTATGAGTATCTGAAATCTTTGGTTTCTAGACAGGGAAACATAATGCAACACTGACTTTTCTGTGGATGTCAAAAGGCAGAGCTGGTATTTGAGCTCAGAGGACACCCTCTCCCTGCCTTCTGTTCAGAGCACTTCCTCCACCTTCTGCCTCCCTGCACGCACTAGCAAAGGAGTTTGCAGCTAGCCTTGCTCTGAGCAGCAGGTGGGACTAGGTGACTGCCAGACATCTCTTCCAACCGAAATCACACTATGGCCCCGCAACCCCATGAAAACGAATGTCTACTACATCAAGGGCTAGTAAAAAAAACATCTGAACTTTACCTGCTTTAGGAGACAGGCAAAAATCAAATTAGAGAAATAAACCCTCCAAAAGTTTATGGTCTACACTAATGACTAACTGACAAGCACAGCTGAATTAGATGGCCATTTCTCAACTGGGAGATACGTCAACCTCACTGAAGAACCATGCTTAGAGCATCACGGCCTCTTGCAATTTCCCACTCTTTCATGGATCTCCTCCATGCTTGATTTTCTCGCTGCCCCCATAATTCATCTGGCTTTTAAATGACGAATTACCACTTCACTTGGTTAGTTCTACATTAAAAAACAAAGGAAGTTTAATTGCACAGACAGCGTGAGATTGTTTTCTTCCCAGATACTGTTGGTTTCCTGCTCCAAACAGGACAAGGATAAAGCAAGTATAAACAGAAATGTTTTATCAAGCCTTCTAGGAGGGTTCCAGGCTGGCTGACAGTCAGAGGTTTGACAGGATAAAACACAGATTTGTCGAGGATTCTATGTAGCCAGTGCTAATAAATAGGTAGACCTGCACATTTTCTATTTCTGCAGTATTATAACCAGTCATATTACCAATCAGAAAAGTATTAACCTGCTGTTTTAACCCACAAGATAAATGCACTTCTTTACTAATGAAATATCTTCTCTCAATACATTATTTTGTTATGTTCTAATGTATTTGAAGATTTCCTAGAGTCTAGCTCAGACTACAAGTTTGCATCATGCCTATTTGCCCTAGGATTTATAGAATTTTTACCAAGGAATATTGTCCTGTTTTCCACTAGTTTCCTCCCCTATCCATTTGAAATCCTCATTGGCAAAAGGCCTACAAATAGAGCTACTGGAGAGGCACCACTGCTTCAGTATTGCATACAACTGCATACTATGTCCTAAAATCCAGGCACTTTAAGACCTAATGAAACTCCACTGAAGTCACATAATTACATTTGCAGTAATCAGGCATCTCAACTGCTAAAAAAGAATAAATGGATTTTAAAAAGGGATGCAATATATTAATCAGCAATAGAAGAGGAGAAAAAAAAAAAAGAGGACAGTTTGGGAACAAGTAGAATTACTTGCTAATCTCTTTTTTTTTTTATGATTAGGCAGTGCCAAAACTTCCAGTCCCACCACTGCAACAGACCTTACACATGTACCTACAGTGCATGAAACACTTGGTGCCAGAGGAGCAATTTAGAAAGACCAAGGTCATTGTGGAGCAGTTTGGAATTGCAGGAGGCCTGGGGGAATCTTTGCAGCAAATCCTCGAGGAAAGAAGGGAAAAGACAACAAACTGGGTAAGTAAATGCAGATGAAAAAAAGAGCATCATCTAACACAGATGCTCATTTACTAACTCTTTGTGATGTTCTATACGTGATCACTGCCTTCTTTCAGCGGGTCAATGCAAACAGGGCTCACATCAGATTCTACCAAAGGGAATGAATATTTCAGACATGCTAGGCTAGAATTTTCAAATGATGTCAAAATCCATGTCATTTTTATGTTTTCAAAAGAACAGTTTGTTGACATAAATGAGGGAATTCATGCACCTCAAGTGCATGCACCCAGGTGTCAGCTCTACCTGTAGGAAGCATTAGATTGCATCCTTTTTGGATGAAATTTCTTCCTTTCCCTTTCATAACAGGATTTAGAGTTTTTATTAAAATGAAAAATGGTTTCTGTTAGGGCTATAAAAAGTGCCTTGCATAGCCATCTAGCCAAAGCTCTGATCCAAATTATTTTGCAATGGAATACTTTAGGATAGGAATTACTCTTTTTAAATTAAACTATTATTTGCCACTCATTGTCACACCATACCAATGTAGTTACCCTGAAGTATTTACTTTGCCAAATATACACACATGTATACATATATATATCTATCACATATGCCATGCTGAGACCTCAGCCTTTAAAAAAGTTCGGCTTTCTGCTTCCAAAGACATAAGCTGTAGGTAAAATAGATTTTATTATTCCACAAACTCACAGTTCATTCTGCCTGCATTAACCATGTTAGAATATGGCAGCTGAAAACTAGAAACACTGATTTTATTGAAGTCCTTCCATCCCAGCAGGAAGAGGGACACTGAATGGTTTCATGGATTCAGTGAAATCCTGCACGCTTGCTACTGATGTCAGTGAAATGTGCTTCTCCCCTAACTTTTCAGTTGTGCGACCCACAAGAAAACTCCATCAAATTGCTACTAGCAAAAAAAAGAGTCAGAAAAAAAGGCTACAGTACTGGAAATGCTTTTATTTTAAAAGCAGTGCTTAATTTCTGAACTACTTGTTGACAGAATCTGAGCAGCACTAAATGCTGCCCAATCTCATTTTGTCATTGTGATCATGGAACTTCATATTTTTGGTGGCTAAATTAACCATTGCTTAAATAGTGTTCCTGATAACAAATAGTGTTCCAGGAGACAACTGTTCATTTAACCACTTACAGAATGAAAATTACAGAGGAAGGATGTGTAAGTGTTTTCTGAAATGTCTCAACTTTAAATACTCATTATTAAAATTAAATACTTGATTCTTAAGATAAATGAAAAATGTTTTTATTTGGAATTTAACTTGCCAGGAGTACAGTTCTAGCCTGTTCTCCTGAAGGCTCCAGAGGCTGCGGGGGAAGCATCTGTTCTAACAGCAATGAAACATCTCAGAGGAAAACTTTTTCAACTGATGCGTGCATTCATAATTATTTTTGCATAATTTTGTTGTTGTTTATAGTTACTATATGCAAAGCATGCCCGCTAAGCTCAGAAAGACCATTTAACCTTTTTATGAAACCCTCAATTTTCTGAATAATGATTCTTCAAACTCTGCTCAGACATAACGGAATGCAGTTACCATACATCTGCATTTCCAATAAAAATGGTTAGAAATTTAATAGGTGTGTCTGTCTGGGTCAAGCATCAGTAAATCTGCATTTGTGTTGGTGGACACAGGGAATTCTCCAGGGGCCCTATCCACATGCCAGTATCTGCAGGACTGAACCATTAGGCTTGGGAAATTCTTTTCCCACTCTGTCTCGCTACAGAACAGTATATGACGGCTAACAACAGATCACCTTGGCATCATTGACAAATATTTGAAGACCCCTGAGGAAAGCCATCACTAGTAAAATTCCATCCATCTCTCAAACATATCCCAATCACTATTCAGGAGTGAGCAGTTAGCATGTTGTACTCAAACATTTTTTTGTTGTAGAGAGAAGCAAACAACAAAATACCCAAGCCACCACAATATGGAGCTTGTTTATTTTTTAATGGAACTCACCGTAAATTGCCATTGATTGAAAAATAGGATTATGGAATTGCGGCTAATTTCAGCTGAGCTGAGGTCACAGAGCCCAGACTGAAAATGCTCTGCAGCTCCATTAATCAGAGCCCATGCGTGACACCAGGAGCACCCAGCACTCTCCCCTCACCCCCAGATTGCCTTTCCGCATGCTGCTCATAGCATTAAGATTTCGTGTCCCCTTCCCTTAGGTGTTTAACTACTGGCTGGATGACATGTACCTCAACAACCGGCTAGCTCTTCCAGTCAATTCGAGCCCAGCAATTATCTTTGCCCGTCAGTATTTCAAGGATGTAAATGACCAGCTGAGGTAATGTACTACGACTTTGCAGCTTTTGCTAAATCAAAGAACATTTTAAATGTACTGCTTTTGCAAAAAGACAATCAACTTTCATTAAAAAAATAAGGGCTGTTAACCATTAAATGATTTCCTACTAGGCTTGCTGACTGAAAGCTGTGTTTCCGGAGTTACTCATCCTGATATTCAGAAATGAAAGTGTCATCACTATTACATTTATTGCATGGAAAAAATTGCCATTTTAATTTTTATAATGATTTATATTTTTTGAAGAAGTATTTGCAAAGCTTTTCATTGTATAATTCAAGTAAACCATTTTGCAATGGAAACCAGAAATACTAATTTCTGACACATTGTTTAAAGGAAAACAATCTTTAACATGACATCACTACAACTTGTAGCCACCCTGCAAACTGAAAAGGCCACGCTGGCATTAAATCATCCCTCTCAGGTGCCAAAAGGGCACCAGAAACACAGGGGATCTAAGAATAAGAATTCAGAAATCATTCCTCCCCAAGAACACTGCTTCCTTCAGGCCCATCCTTCCCAGCCCTGAACCGACCTTTCTCCTTTCAGCTGTTGTGGGCAATTACAATCATTTAAAAAGTGAAAAGGTAAGCAAGTAGCCAAGCACAGAATATACTTCTCCAGATACCCTTAAAACAGGATTCCATTCTTCAGCCTTTGCCAAAACATTTTCTCCTTTTAAAACAGTAAACCAGATTAAATCTACCTTTGTATAGTGCAATTTTGCTTTTAGCACTCTCCAGCTGCTCATTACTGAATTAACTACATGTGAATTTATGCTATTATAAAACAGCCTGAACCTTGAAGCCGATATGTTATTTTAACATTTTGCACAGACAGCCAATGTATCTTTTTACTTTATTTTAAACATAACTATAGATGCTTCCATTCATCACTGACTAAATTTATTGTGCACACAGCTTTCGAAAAACCTCCACTTTGCACTTGCTAATGCACGTGCTTTAACAAGGAAATATTTTTTTCAGAGCCTCCTATTCAGACAAAGTGCAAATGGGCAGTGTCAGGAAATAATACACCTGTCCACAGCTCTGCAGAAAGACTATCTGCTTAGGACAGGAAGTTCTCTAATAAATTGGACAGCTTATGAGTATTGATATTGAAACCCATGTTAGGGATTCTATTAAATATTCAGCCTCTGCTCCCGTTCTCTAAATAAATGCTTTCAGGCTTCCTCCTGTGGTAGTCTGTTTAACCATTTGAAGGGACCATCTCTAGGATTTCATATTTCTCTTGACATGAATTAATTTAGATTTTGGGTGGGGGTCAGGGGCTCTCCTTGCCAAGCCAGACTTTCTCTCCTTATGCTGTGTCATCAATCATTCAGGCTCTCTTCTGTCTCTCAGAAACAGCCCAGTGTTGCTAAATGACAAAAGACTGATGTCACTTCTATCTGCTACTTGCAGGTTTGCTGCCAATCTAATTTCAGGAGTGCAAGACTATAAAGCTTTACTGGACACGTAAGTAGCTTGGTAGGAGAGCTGCTGCTTGAGTATCTGCAGGGCTTCTGATTCAGTGGTGCTCTAGCATGCCCAAAGTCAGGCTGCATTGCACCTCTCCAACATTTGCAAGGGCTGGGGCTCCAGCATGCTTCAGGGAAAGAGCTTCAGCAAATTGTATGGGCTTTCTGCTTTATTACTGCAATGTAACAGGTTGGAGAAGGATCCTTTTTGATGCCTGGTAGTCATTACTCTAGCATACGCAGTGCAGCCCAAAGGACACACACAATCTGTGTAACAGACCTATTGAGAACACACCATGAAGTCTGTGCTTCCCAGACACAAAGAGCAGCAGCACTGCGGCTACACAGCCTGCACACCTTCCCTGGCACTGGATGCCTGCCAGGGTGCTGCATCCCCTCCATGTACTGCACACGGAGTGCAGTAGAACATCAGCCCCCAAAAGAAGAAATAACACATGCCGCCAGGAGAAGGAAGCCTCACCGTAGACAGATTGTTTCAGTGGCTAGTGAAAATAAGACGTTACTTATGACATTATTACTTTCTGTATATAAACACAGGGAAACCCATCATTCTTTAAGTCACAAATAATGTAGCTGATAACAGAATTTTACATAGCACTTCTCAACCTCACCTAATATGTTCCAAGTTGACTGCTGAAATCACTGGTCCCTGAAGAATAGAAACAGTGAAGAGCCCAGCAAAATGGACACCACACCATAGTAGGGAAGGGGTCATTTTCCTGTCTGGAAATACAAGAGGCCTATGTGACATGCTTTAACCAATGCTTATTTGTATGAGGAAGACAAAGTCCATATTCAAACAAAGTCCCTATCAACTATGAAGTAGACAAAAGAAAGAGGAAGAGGCTGTTTGCTTTTTCACTTCAAAAGTCTGACAGCTACTCAGACAGTATAGAAAGAGGTACTTATTTAAGAACACATGCTCTTGTCTAAAATATGCCCTGCAACTGCATACACCAGCACTGGCATGCTGTGAAGTACTTTTGCATACTAATGTAGTTTGTTGCATCTTTATATGACAGCATCTGAGATGAGCTAAAGAAACCACATTGCTCAAACCAAGGATAATTTAAATTCTTAATATTTTGACCTTGCTACTGTAGAGCCAAAGACTCCTGTGATCAGATTTGCTTGCCTTAAATCAATAATCATTTAAATCCTCATTACTGTGTCCTCATATTGTTATTACCATTTCCTTATCACTCTTTCTGTAAAATTATGAGGACACCATAATGGTAACATTTTCAGTTCCTTATTGCTGTTAAGGACTTCTACCACCAAGAATACTGCTAAGCTTTTCTTGGATCACCCCAAATGCAGATGCACAATATTCCAGCCCAAACCAAGGCATTTAGTTTTAGCTGTGCAGATATTCCATGCAGTTGCCAGGACTAAAGATTTCAAACAAAGCCTAACTTGCTCACATAAAAAAGATATAAGATCTTATACAGACATCTCCTAAATAACGACAAGATTTTCTGGTGCCATCAATCAGAGTTAATAACTCCTTTCTCAGCTGCTATAATTACAGATTGTCTTATCTAAATCTGCCATGTTATTCCACTATTTTTGATCATCATAGATGCTCTTTAAAACTCTGTTAAATATAAGAGGATTTCTGCATTATGCAAAATGTGGAAGAAGGAGAACACTAATAACTGTATTTTGCTGATACGGAACAAAAAAAAATGAAGCACCAGTACAAGGAAAAAAGTGATACAAAGAGTTTGAGAGCCAGGAACTAAAATGAATATCCCTGGTTTAGAACTGCAACAGTTCTAAAGAGACACTTAAAGATAAACTAGCATAAAGCATTACCCTGTAGCAGCTATATGACAGTAACCATCCTGTGTGCTTCTTTGCCGCTGCCCCACTCTGGCAGGCTGGAAGTTTAGTCCTCTTTTGCTGAGGGAAAACCTCTGCACCACAAGATCTTCTTCCTCCTGTGGTCTCTGCAGCCCCTCCTGAACAACAGCACCATTATTTCCTGCTGCAGTGACAGTGGGATATTTTACAATCCATAATCATAATTGTGATAACTTTTTTTTTTTTTTTTTTTTTTTGCCTGGCCACTAAAGAAGTCTTTTAGGAGTTGTTTTCACATGCCTTCCAATAAGAAAGAAACAGGCTTTCAGCATTGTTCCCCCATAGGTCTAAGTAAAGATTAGCATGTAAGTGAGGCTCTGTAGAAAACAGAAATTCCCTCTGTAGTGCCCCAGTTGTTCCTGTTCATCAGGCAAGGCCCTCTCAAACGCTCTCTAACCACTCTGCACAGTACAGGCCACTGTGATTTGCTGTGAATTTCATCAGTACTTTTTTCCAAGGTGCTATGTCTTTTCCAGCTGTTCTGCAGACTTCCATCCTGGCAAGTTTCTGGGGTCCCATCTAGGCAGGCTTCCCATCCACATTGCAAAGCTGCTTGTGACCTGCTAGTCTTTCCATTTCCACTAGATGATAATGCAATTGCCTAATGAATATGCATGAAGCTGCCAGGAATGATGTATTTAACTTTGCTATGGGAATTCATCTATTTCCCTTATACTGTAATCTCATTTTATTATTCAATTTGTATTATACCTGATCTAATTGTAACAGAACAAAGGACAGATTAGATTTCTTTTCCTTTCTGTCTCTCTCTCCCCTCTCTCCCTCTGGCTTTGTTTTTCTCCTTCTCTCTCTCCAGCCATGCTTTACCTGTTGATTTTGCTCGTGGACAGCTGTCTGGTCATCCTCTCTGTATGAAGCAATACTATGGACTCTTTTCTTCCTATCGTCTTCCAGGACATACCAAAGATACCCTCGTGGCTCAGAAAAGCAGTGTAATGCCAGAACCAGAGCACATCATTGTTGCTTGTAACAATCAGGTAAACGAGTGTTCTTATTTTTATACCTTTCTATATTTCTTAGTTTGCTCAAATTTGCTCAAGAAAAGCCTAATCTAATCACTGTTCAGAAATACAATTAGCATGCTACATATGAGCTCACTTCTTACCAAGCATTCGCTGTCAATATTTCCAAAAGATGCTTCTGCAGCATTTTTGTCCTTAGCCGACATTATGTTCCAAGTACAGTGATGCAGAAAGGAGGAATGTGGCAGAATTCATCTGCTTTCTCATTCAAACAAAGATGTTTATTAAACAGAGATGAAATCACAGAGAAAAAAAAATCTGATTAATGAGTGCATTTGCTGGAAACGCTCTTCTCTTGACAGTCAAGTATTGGCACACAACATGTGGCATATATACCACCATCCCACGCAGGGGGACCAAAACTATGCCTGAAGAAGTTAGCACAGGTGCAGGCAGAAATACTGAAGCGTTAGAGTGAATCTGTCCCAACCAATAAATGCCGCCAAGCAGCAGAGTATATTGCCGGGGCACAGTAGCTTGTAGCCCAGCTTGACTAATTGTAGTACTGGAGCCATGTCTGCAGGCCCCCTTTCAATGAAGGGGTAGATCCCAGTGGTCCCTTTTCCAGGAAGTCCTGTTCTTCACCTCAAATGGAAGTTCCCTAGATTCTCTAGGTTAGCTTTAAACAAATACTACCATGGAAATTATTTACATACTTCCTGATTTTATCTCTTCAGTTTTTTTAAATTTTATTCAGATAGCATATGTTTTATTTGAGCCCAACACACAATAAGAGGTGTGAGGGCCAGAAGGAGAACCTGGGGAGCTACAGGCCTGTCAGTCTGACCTCAGTGCCAGGGAAGGTTATGGAGAGGATCATCCTGAGTGCCATCACACAGCACGTACAGGACAACCAGGTGATCAGGCCCAGTCAGCATGGGTTTATGAAAGGCAGGTCCTGTTTAACCAACCTGATCTGCTTCTATGACCAGGTGACCCACTTGGATGAAGGAAAGGCTGTGGATGTTGTTTACCAGAACTTTACTAAAGCCTTTGACACAATTTCCCAGAACATTCTCCTGGAGAAACTGGCTGCCCGTGGCTTTGACAGGTGTACTCTTCGCTGGGTAAAAAATTGGCTGGATGGTCAGGCCCAAAGAGTTGTGGTGACTGGAATTAAATCCAGTTGGCAGCCAGTCACAGGTGGTGTTCCCTAGGGCTCAGCATCAGGGCCAGTTCTGTTTAATATCTTTATCAATGATCTGGACGAGGGGATCATGTGCACTCTCAGTACATATGCAGACGACACCAAGTTGGGTGGGAGTGTTGATCTGCTTGAGCGTAGGAGGGCTCTACAGAGGGATCTGGAGAGGCTGGATCAATGGGCTGAGACTAACTGTATAAGGTTCAACAAGGCTGAGAGCTGGGTCCTGCACTTCAGTCACAACAACCCCATGCAATGCTACAGGCTTGGGGAGGAGTGTCCGGAAAGTTGCCTGGTGGAAAAGGACCTGGGAGTGTTGATCAACAGCCAGCTGAATATAAGCCAGCAGTGTGCCCAGGTAGCCAAGGCAGCCAATGGCCTCCTGGCTTGTATCAGAAATAGTGTGACTAGCAGGACTAGAGAAGTGATTGTGCCACTGTACTCGGCCCTGGTGAGGTCATACCTCAAATACTGTGTTCAGTTTTGGGCCCCTCACTACAAGACAGACATGGAATTGCTGGAGCATGCCCAAAGAAGGGCAAGGAAGCTAGTGAAGGGGTGTGGAGCACAAGTCCAATGAGGAGCGGCTGAGGGAACTGGGGTTGTTTAGCCTGGAGAAAAGGAGGCTCAGGAGAGACCTTATTGCTCTCTACAACTTCCTCCTCGAGGAAACAGCCTCAAGTTGCACCAGGGGAGGTTTCCTAACCAGTTGAGGTTAGGAAAAAATTCTTCATCAAAATGGTTGTCAAGCATTGGAACAGGCTACTGAGGGAAGTGAATCAGTCACCATCTCCACAGGTATTTAAAGATGTGGTTTAGTGGTGGATTTGGTAGTGCTAGCTTAATGGTTGGACTTGATGAACTTAAAGGTCTTTTCCAACCTAAATGATTCTATGAATATATGTTTGCTAGAGCAATTGGCATTACACAGGTGTAAAAACACAGGAGGAGTGATCCGTGGGCCAGTGCCCAGTGTTTTTGTGCTCCATTGCCTGCAGGTCTGGCTCTCCAGGCAGGACTTCAGCATCTCAACACCTACCCAGGTGAAAGCAAAATGTTGGACCAGTAAGGGTCTAACCCACCTGTGACTGTTCTGACTCCTGTCATTTTTTTGCAGTTTTTTGTTTTGGATGTTGTCATTAATTTCCGCCGTCTCAGTGAGGGAGATCTTTTCACTCAGTTACGAAAGATAGCCAAAATGGCAGAGAATGAAGAGGAAATGTTGCCTCCAATCGGCCTGCTGACAACAGATGGAAGAACAGAGTGGGCAGAAGCCAGGACAATCCTTATGAAAGGTTAGCAGCAGCAATCCCAGCTTTCTCTTCTTCATCACCTTCCTCCTCCTCCTCACCATCATTGCCTTTCTTTGCTGGAGTGAACATTACAGCAAATACAGGACTGAATGTGCAACCTCACTGCTGAATATTTCTAGCAGGAGGAAACTCAATACCTGTAAGTGTTCAGATGTATGTTACCAGGGAAGCATCAGATACAGTTTGACCCTTTGTCTGTGTATGTTTTAAGTGTTACACCATGAAATTATCTCTCACTCCATTCTCTGTTTTTCATCACATAAATTACATTACATAAGATTTTGTGATTTGTCTCTTTCTTCACATCCATTTTGTACCAATAGTACCACCATTATTACGTGGTACCAGTCTCTTAGCTTTTGGCAACTATTAGACATTTTTCATCTCATCTAACAAAGACATCTATAAGTTAAACACCTATTGAATCTAGCTCTGTACTCTCTCTAGTCAATGGAGAAAAACAGAAAGTACCAGGGCTGAGTCATCCAAATCTTAAGTATCTAGGAAACGTGACACTAGTTATTACCTGCGGGTACTTCTCTCTCTCTTCCAACAGGCAGCATTTAGCTGTCTTGGATTCTGGACTCGAATGCTGGACTTTGAAACAGATGAAAATAAAGGGTAGGATTAGTCACCTCTATCACTTCACACCTTCTATATTTTACCCTGAAGCTATGTGATGTAAACGCCCTCTTTTTGCCATTTTGGATGACATTCAAAATGGTATTCATTTTTCCCTTGTGAAAAAAAAATTAACTCAACCCTTCATCTACAGTTCAGCAATGCTATGGAAAATACTGCTGTTTTACCAATGCCCTGGAACATACAAGAGTTGTCAATAGTCTCAAAATGTTTACCATCCCAAGGAAGATCTTCCCTTGTCTTATTCAAGTTTATCTGTGTTTATAATAACTTGATATAGATAAACACACATGTGCACATACACACAGAGTCCTGAACATTATTACGTGGTACCAGTCTCGTCTTCAGGCTTTCCCCTCCCCATCTTTTGTTTTTAAAGCAGGAGAAAAAAATTCCTTATTTTAATGGAAAGAGAGATAAACACCTAATTATTTATTTCTTTGTCACACTTATAAGTGAAACAGTGAATACCTTGAAATATACAGCAAAATCATCTTTGTAAACTTACATCATCCTAAAGAAAAAAAGACAAGTCAACAAAAACTAGCAGAACCATCTCTCTAGTGCTTTTGGATTACCTGGTATTTGCCAAAATACTCATTTTAATGAGGAAGCAAACCAACTCAGTTATGCAGCTGAAAAAAAACCCAACATACTCTGCCCTAGCAAATATCACAGCACTGTGATGTGAGCCTTCTCTAATCTAAGCAGGAATCCCATCCTAGACCACTTGTATTAGCATAGCTCCTCTATATAGTAAAACAGAGTGGGTTTTTTTAGTTTTTTTACTATATAGTAAAAAACACATTGCTGTCACACATGGATACGTGATTATTAACAGCTCTTTTTTCTGTCTTATCTATGGTGAAATGTTCAAGCAACAATAACAGAGGAAGAGAAAAGCCTCTAGTGAAGCAGCGTAAGGTAGAAGGGGTCATTGCACAACTGTTCTGTACTGGGCAGGGAAAGAAAGGATGCTTCAGGATGGAGAAGACCTATACAGCACTTTGCAGAAGTTGTGAAGGAGATATTTCCATAGACCTACAAGTAGAGGATAGGTCTTCTAGATGAGAAAATTTCAAAGAAATTGTAACAAACCCAGCCATCACTGATTTATAAACACATTCAGTATTTTAACTGCATTCAGGCTGCAGAACTAAAGTGCTCTCCTAAGTAGAGGAGGTGAATTCTTACTCTATCAGGGCTGCTGTCCCATGCATACTGTATCTGAATTTGATTCAGAACAGTCTTCTCATATTTTCCTTTTTAAAACAAAAACCAAAAACCTCAACTAACCAAAAGCTGACTGTTCAATTCAATGCAATTGTGTGCATTAGAAAGGAAGGACAAGAAATGTCTTACAGGGCTTTAGGCTTGTTCTCACACTTCTCTGTTTCAGCTTTTTCTGGAAATATTCTTATATTTTTATTCTCATGGTTCATGAGTTCTTGTGCAGTTGATTGCCTGCTTTAGATGATTTTTTTTTTTTTTTCAGTGTTTGACCAGCTCTCTGGACATGTCTATTTCTGTAAGGGCGTATTTTCCCTACTTTTCTGTTTCTAGCAGAGCTTAATTTTATTCACTCTAATACCCAGACTCAAGATACCCTGAAGCCGTATGTCAGAATAAGGGCTTCATATCTGTCAAAGATATGTGGGCAGCAGCCACAATGAAATATATATAAACCTATCAGACAACATAAAGCAGAATGCTGAGCAAGCTGTGAGCAGTTTGTAAATCACTATCCAAGCAGTTTTTCCTTGAAGGTGCCTGTCCACAAATATCAGCAGCTGATGTATACGGGGCAACTTCCATTCACAAGGATCTTTTCAGACTTTGCCTTGATGTGCCCAGGCCATCAACGGAACAAATACCACAATTACGGTCACCCCTGCAAGTGTCACATACTAGAAAAGCTTTACAGTCAAGAGGGCAGGGATTAGTCTTCTCCCTTATAAAGTTTCTGAACGCTTTTGAAGACGATTCATAGGGACATCAGTGTTTCACATGTTGTAGGGCAGCATAGATCACTGACAGAAAGCTCAACCTATCTACAGGCCCCATCAATTACAATCTCCTGGCTCAAGTCTTTGTAGGAGCTGGCAGGAACACCAGGTGTCTTCCCTGGGACTCTGCTTCTGTGAGCGAGGGAAGACAATGCACTCAGCGCTTCACCAGGTCCCCAAGCAGCCTGCAAGAAGTCAGACTGGCTGCTCCTGTCACTTGGGCCCATGGCTGCCAACACTCCCTTGCAGGAGCCACCAGACAGCAACAGACAGTACCTTACCATAACCTGTAAGATGCCACAGCTCCCCCTCTTCCTTCTCAGCCACTGCTATCACTGGTTTCTCCTTCTCTTGACATCTTTTCCATTTCTTGCATATTTCCGCTCTTTTTTACTACACAGCATGTGGAGAATGAATATGGATGATAACAAGTAGCTGGTTTTTTTCTAACTCCTCACTAACCTATGTTACTCATTTTGGGAAGGTACATTTTTTTCTTACTTTGAAAAATGCTGTTCTTTCAGATGATCAAGCTACTTTTCATATACGCAAACATTAAAAATACGCACATTTTGAAATGACTCCATATTTCAAATGCAAATCAGAATTGTTTAATTTTAAATATTTTCCCGTTCTTTCAGCTAAAATAATCTCCTGAACTGAGCACAAAGTTGTTGAATGTAGCACAGTCTTGCAAGAAGTTTTGATCAATCTGAATTCATCTCTTTAGTTAAGAACATTCTGAAACAAAAACATCACCAAAATCTAGCAAAACCAGCAGATGAAAGCTGATCTGTTAAGAATGGAAAGAATTTTAAGGTGATGTTTGAAAGCCCTTTTTCCTTTGATCTTAACAACCGTTTAACAGCAATTAATGACATTACATGCTTTTGAATAAAACAAGTTCTTATTATAGGTTCCACACTTTTATCCTTTCAATTAGAAGCTGTATTAAGTGTTAACAATTAAATATTTCCTATGCCTCAAACTGGCCCTCAGAAGCAAATAAACGTTTACATTCATAATATTTCAGAGTTAAAGAAACTGAGAAAAAAACCTGCATAAATACAGTATAAATAAGGAGGAAGTGCTGAGGGCAACGTAAAAATGGCCTTTCTAGTCCACCTGTAGAAGCAAGAGTGACAAGATAAGAAAAAGAAACAGAGAAAGAGAGCCAGAAGTAGCACATTTTATTCAGCAGTACATTAGTGATAGGAGGGAAGTGGAATGTGGCAACCCTTGGTTTTGGCAATACCATGTTCACAAACTAAACCTCAGGACCTCATCCACAGATGTTTCCTCATGTGACGTAGGCAATATACCCAGTCCAGGGCTTATTGCTCTAAAGTACAAGAAATGACCAGGGCCAGGAGAGAAAAGAGAGTTTTAATACAAAGAATACAAAAGCAACATAAACCCTGCTGTTCCTTGTCCAGAAAAGGGTTTTAATGGGAGAACACCACAAAACCAGTATAGGCCCTGCTGTTACAGAGCAGAATACTGCAGCACTCTATTTTCTACCTGTCCTCTCTGTAAGAGTTATATATAAAATAAGTAAGCATTGCTGGCTTTAAGAGTAAAATCTATTTTATAATATAATTACTTCAGGAAATGAAAGGCAGAAGAAGAAAGTGGATATTATTGAATCATATGAAAGATACACAGAAATATTACAAAAGTTAACACACAATTTAATGCCTTGGTGTAACATTTCCTTGCACTGAGACAATCTGCTTTTGAGAGAGCTCATTGCAGAGTCAGGGTCAGATCTTCAATGCTTTCCAAGGCAGCAGGGTTCCCCAGCCAGTGCTGCACTACAGTTAAGAGGATGTGAATGTTTCACTCTTTTATTCCCAGACTCTACTAACCGCGACTCTCTTGACATGATTGAACGGTGCATGTGCCTGGTGTGCCTGGACAACCCAAGCGGGATGGAACTCACTGATACAAACATGGCATTGCAACTGCTACATGGGGGAGGCTACCATAAAAACGGGGCCAATCGTTGGTATGACAAACCTATGCAGGTAAAAACCTTACAGTACTACGATATTACTCGCACATGGCAAAGGACTCCAGTTGCCCTCGTGGTAGGGACCACTTAGAATCAAGTGGGAGAAAGAGGGGAAGGTGGTGTTCAGCATCTGCCAAGGCAGGGTTGGTGTGAGCAGCGTTCCGGGGAAGCAGACCTACTGCCTTGTTGACAGTGGGGGAGCCTTCCCCAACACAGGTATGCTTTCACCCTCCCTAAGTTCCCTTTCCTCTTGAGGAGGTAAGGCAGATACACAGACATACAGGTAGGTAGATATCTGATTTAAAAAACCAAAACAGTACGCATTTAATTACACTCAATCAAATGGAATAAAAATGCTGGACTAGCATCCCAGAACAAAAAAGAAAAGCACAATAGCTTTCTCTGTTTTCTCTTCGCTCACATTTTCCTGACAACCTGGAAATGCTACTGCTTATAATTTAGCATGTGTTTAAGTTAGTATTAAGTTCTCACTTAACAGACTGTTTAATCATTTAATGGCATCCTTGTTGAGACTTTCCTGGAAGTATTGATTTCTCCAGCCTTTTTCCCAATCAGATTTTGATTGTCATATTTGAAAACGTCACAGTGTTATTTTCACATTTTGCAGTAGACACAGGGTGAAGCAATGTATTAATCTCCAACTGTCAACAATGTTGATGCCTCATGAAAAATTGAAAAAAAACCCTGACTGATATATTGCTCATGCAATGCTTGTTGCTCTTGCCATATCTAAGAACAGCAACATGAAAAGAGAAAACACAAAATTAATTACACTTGCACTGACTTACCCCAGTGCAAATACATTTCAGTAGTCACTCCTGATTTATGCCACAGCAAATGACATTATTAGCAGACTCCAGTGCTGTGTTTTTAAAGAACAAACCATTTGTCTTTAGTTCAAATCCTCTGTTATTTGCAGGGCCACTAGTTGAGATGTTTCAAGCAGATGAGAATAAACAAGATCTTCTTTTTGTTTACTATCAGAAGGTAGCAGAAAGCAAATAAATTTGCACAGTATATGGGAGGGCTTCTTCTGTCCAGATGTATTCAGCCCAGAAGTAGTTCAAAGGTGAGGAGAAATTCTTAGGGAAAAAAAATCCCATTTTCTTTCATGCAAACACAGATTATGTAGGAAGCCATTCTCACAACAGGACTTTTTCTTTCTCTCCATATTCTTCTCCAGCCTTGCAGTAAGGCATCCAGGTAAACTTTTTGCATCACACACTTTGTGAAAACCTTATGGGAACCAGGGAGACAGGATGCATACGTGTGATACAAAGGCACAGAGTGAGCTGAATAGGAGAAAACCAGCCAAAGACACTTCAAAAGAAGTGGTGAGAAAAGTCCAGAAAAATGACAGGAAACATGATACAAGTTGCAGTTTTGTCCTAGACATCTGCTTTCGTTTGAGATGCAGGAGTAACCAGCTGCATGGAGGTATCACAGAACTACAGTGCAGCAGGTTAAGTGTCACCAGTTACACCATGTATATGCAATGAAATCAGGAATGAAGACAAGTAAGAGTGAAAGGAAGAAAATACCACCAAAAAAAGGTAAAGAGGAAGCAGGGCAGTAAAACAAGCTATGGGAAAGCTATCAAATAAGGATGAGCTTGCTCATTTGATATGATATGTGTGATAAAATGTCATCCTAAGGGACTTCCCAGATAAAGAAGTTGCACTGCACACAAATGTGGAAGGAGAACCCCGGCCTGTCTTTCTATTGACGGGTTTTCTCTACCGTAAAGCAGATGCTAAATCTGATTTCCAGACTCAATGGGAATTGCTAAAATTTACATTCTTGCAGAACTCAGTCCAAAACAGCAGCATGAAAGAGATCCAGTGCAACACCATTCACAGGACAAGAAAGTCTCCCGCAGTGAGTCTGTAAGTCACCTACTGATCTGTAAGTCAAGGAAGTTCCTGATATGAGCAGTAAGAAAACCACAGAAGAACGACAACATCTTTTGTTAGGTTGCCATCATGGGTAACTTACCCAGAACATGATTTATTCCCCATACATCTTGAACTTGTTCTTTTCCTTGCTTAGTTTGTGGTAGGAAGAGACGGAGTCTGTGGTACCGTGTGTGAACATTCCCCCTTCGATGGCATCGTGCTGGTGCAGTGCACTGAACACTTGCTTAAACACATGTAAGTCTCCTTTCAGTACAGCTCTTGTACGCACACCAGCCTCCAGGAAGCCTCTGCCAGTGGCAAATTCCCCCTGATGCATGGGGCCACTAAGGCCCATACAACTGTTGGAAACCAGTCATTTACTTGCTAAAAACGCAGCGTGTAACAAATAAGTTTTTCCTGTGACCTTAATGACTTTTCTCTCACACATGAACAGGAAAGAAAGCTCCAAGAAATTAGTCCGAGCTGATTCAGTGAGTGAGCTTCCTGCTCCACGGAGGTTAAGATGGAAATGTTCCCCTGAAATTCAGGCACATTTGGCATCATCCGCAGAAAAACTCCAAAGGTAGAACAGATGCCTGATTTTTCTCAGCAATGACTGCAAACTGGGAACTACCCAGTGAGTGAAGGCATGGGTTTCCTCCTGAAGGGCTCTCCATGCCCTCCTGCTCGCTCCTCCTCATCTTCCTAAGCTGGACATACCTAGCATCTCTTTGCAGGATGGCACCTCTATGGTCTGGAGCTTCTTCACTGTATTTGGGAATTGCATTACCATTGTTTTTCTTCCATGTAAATATCAGGAAGTCTCAAGACACTGGAAAAACAGTAGAGTCCTATTTGCATAGGATGAAAACAGTGCAGGTCCTCTGTTGTTGCAGATACACTTTATGGGTTTGACCTGACTAAAGCAGAAGCCAGGGCAATAGGGATATGTGTATGGGACAGTAGAATACAACGGTTTTGAATAAACAATTTGAATTCAGGAATGTAATTTGTTTACATCCATGTTGCTCCCACAAAGGTTAGTTCTTCTGACTGTGTTTCCAAACTGTAAAAGATTTGCATGATCTTTGGGGGTGGGGATGGCAATGAGAGATTTTTTTTTTTTTTCCCCAAATTATTTAATCTCAACACTCAGGCCTGGGATCACTCTGTAGAGAGTTAACACATTGCCTACATGATCAGCTGTAAGTATGTCCAGTGTGACTGCATTAGATGAGACCTCAAAGTGGCCAGAAGCATACATGAGAGTATGAAAACATTCAGGATGCAGAGTAATTCCTTTTTTTTTTTTAAACAGAGGTAGCAGTCCTCTAAATTGAAACTTGCCAGGAGCTTACAGCCTTCATCAGGTTTTAAATTCACCCATTTCTGACACTAGTAAATCTCACAGAAATGTGTCAACAACAAAGGAGGCCCTGGCTTAGGCTTCAGGAGTGGAAATACTAAATCTTGTTTTTATTAAAAAAAAAAAAAAAGAAAAAAAGAAAAACTGTTTTACTCAAATGAACAGAATGACCTGAGTGCCACAGCTCATGTTAAGGCTGCGGATAACAATCCCAGTCTAGAACCTGTATGAATAAAAGTTACTGACTAGTAACAAGCCGCCAAAGGCCAGGACTGTAGAACAGGAGCCCACTCACCTCCAAATGGGTACCGGCAGGAAGTGATCTCTGCATTTTATTTGCAAGTGGAAATGGAACATGAGATTCTTGCATCTCCCCCTGCAGTAACTGTCTCTGCTTGTTTTCCAGGATAGTAAAAAACCTGGACTTTATCGCCTACAAATTTGAGAACTATGGAAAGGAATTTATTAAGAAACAAAAGATTAGCCCGGATGCCTACATTCAAGTAGCACTTCAGCTGGCATTTTACAGGTAAGGTTAATTCAAATCATAGGAACGAGGTAGCACAAAAGGAGATTCACAATTTGTTTTTTATGTAGAGGGTCCATCTTTTCCTCAGCACCCAAACAAATGCCTCCTTGCATAGAAATGAGTGATCTTGCCTAATGACTGTAGTTCAAACTAGATAGAAATTTCCACCTGGTTCTAAGACAGAGTACTCCTTTCTTTCGCTCCCTTTCCATTTCCTTGCTCTACTTTCCCATCCCCATGTCCCACACACACCATTCCCAGACAGTACCCTCCTGACAGATGTCCCTGCACTCAGCATGAAGAAGAGTGTGAGGTGATGTGGCAGAGAGTGGCAGACAACCCTACCACCCACAGCAGCAGAACCAGCTAGACAGTCCCTGGGGCAGAAACACTCCCTTGCCACTGCGGATAGGCTTGGAGGAACCATGGCAGTAACCCATAGCTCACCACATAGACATCCCCTGCACCACAGGCAGAAAAGTATTCACAGGGAAGAATACTATAGCAGCATATCAGATCAGAGTTCCTACACAGGATAGTAACTACTTCTCCTTCCTTCTTCACAGGCATCCCAAGATTTGAGAATATCCTCTAATTTCCATGGTATTATCTAAGTTGGGTATTATCTATGTTGTCAGAACAGCTAACACTCCAGGCTAGAGACTGGTTGCATGGTTCCCTGCATAACAGCCTATTAAACGAATAATTCTTTATCATGTCAAATTAAATCCTGAAGTGGTCTTTACCTAGTCAAAACCAGAGATGCCTAACACATTTTGCATACTCCATTAACATCTGTTAAAAATCCATTTTGCGTATTCCATTAACCAGACTCCAATGAGCTGGTCCAAGATTTTCATCGGGATCCCAGTCATAATATAAATCCACGTATGCAACAAAAACCTTAGGGGACAGTTATATTCCAAGACCCCTGCTTCAACTGGAAGGCACAGTAGGCTTCCTGAAGTGAGGAATAGTAGCTATATACCTGGACCCAAATTAAACAATAATCTTCACACTGTTCTATTTGCTATGTGGGTTTTCATTCCAGCTCACAGCCTCAAACAACACCCTACTCCCCTTTTAGTTTTCTATTTTTCATTCACACACAGAGTGCATTTTTTTCTTATTTTAAATAAAACATATTTCACACCCGTAAGTAAATGATTAATTACACAATTACTTTATGATGCAGTACAAATAAAACATTACTTGAGATCTTTCAGTAAATTTTAGTTTTACTAGTCTTGTTTTTACACAAGTCATTTTTTACTGGCAATGCATAACTAAAATGTATACAGCTGTATGCAGCTCCTCGTATTAGAAAGGAGTGAGCATCCATCTTTTTTAAGTTTCTTATAGAATTCTATCAACATTAAGATGAATACTATGTGAAAAATAAAATTGTGGCTCTAACAATAAAACATACCAAGCCTATATTTCTTTTGGTCTTTATTACTCCTTGTAAATAATTATTCTTTGGGTTTTTTTACTTCATTCTCTCAGACGCCACAGGAGACTTGTCCCTACCTATGAAAGTGCTTCCATACGTCGATTTGATGAGGGCAGAGTCGACAACATTAGGTCTGCTACCTGGGAAGCATTTGCTTTTGTAAAAGCAATGACTGATGACAAGACAGCTCTATCGGTATGTTGGTCTATCTCCCTCTGCCTCCTTTGGCAAAACACTAAGCAAATAATGCATTCATGATCCCCAATCTCTCACTTTTTAACTGCTAACCGAGAACATAAAGGCATAGGGCAGGGTAGCAAGCCTTACAGGATTTTGCTTTTTGTGCAAAGTAACCAAATATAAATACTTCCTTACTTTTACTTAAGCAGCCAGAAGGTTCAGAGGTGCTTAAAAATGAGATTATAAGAAAAAAAAAACCAGCTGATTTTAGACTTCATACTGTCTTCTGATCTATCATCAGATCCAAATTCTGCTCCCTGGAGACATCTAAGCTGAACGTGCAAAGTTCAGGATCCTTATACTGCTACACCCGGGGAACTGCCTAGCAGTTTTATAGGATCCTCAAAAGGACTGAACCTTCATGATGAAAAACCTTCATCAAGCTAATAAAACAACTCTCCAAACTGTCCTGACATCATCCTGCAAAAAGAAAAATTAAATTGCCTTTCTTTGAGACATCACCATCTGTTTGCCAGAAGCATGAGTACTGTACATAGTAGATAGGGATGCAAAGAGGTACAGCTGAGAGAGCTGAGACTATAGCTGCACAAACAGCTTTGTGCACTATCCCTCCTGCCATCCCTGGAGAGCCTCCCTCAACATGTCTCTATGTGCCATTTCCACCCACTGCACTTCGCTGCTGTACAGGGAATTTCCAGGTGGCTGTTGAGATGCAAAACACTGCCACAATATAGATTATTTTGCACAGTCAGACCACTCCAGTGGCAACAGCCCACATAACTGTTCTTTAGAATCTAGCATAGCATTGCTAGAATTATTGCTGAGCTGTAGATTAAGTGTAAATTAATGAAATATTGTAAACCAAGCTCTAATGTCCCAGACAATGAGGAGAATTTGCCCAGAGAAGTGCTCTGTTCCTCCACTGCTTCTTCAGTCTGCTTAAGGTTACCATGCCCAGAATTTAGCTTATCATGAAAAAGACTCAAATAAAGTTCCATGTTAAAATGATAACTGAAAGGAAACTGAAAGTAATTCCCTACACTGAATGGGTAATTCAAGGCAGATTATGACCATACTATCACACATAATAGTGACTACCACACAGTAGACAAGAAGAGGTTGTTTTTATTTGCTATCAGTGTCTTTTCCGACAACATGGTTCTCAATCATATTTCATCAGAAGCTGCTGTCATCTGCGCACACCTTCCCCTCCACGCTTGGGCGCTCAGCATACCCCCAGCCTCAACACACATTGCTGCAGGCTGACCGTACTCCCAGGAGGAGCCAGCCTGCTCCTACCACAGTGTTTTGCCACATCCTTCTTGTTCCCTCCAACAATCTCTTCCTACCTTCCTTATTCCAACACTTACTTAATTCTGGAGCTCTCCCAAAGCTTCAGCATTTCTCACCATTTTACCACCCAAATCTGAGATTGTGCCCACCTTTCACAGCATCCTAAACTCTTCTGCTTCACAGAAGTAAGCAGAAGAGTGCATGTCTAGAGCGAGCTCAGTCTCTGCTCCCAAATCTTTATATTGCATGCCTTGGCAGTACCTGATAGGGAGATAAATAGTTTCATTCCCCCTGAAAAACCTGTAATCATAATGCAAACCAATCCACTGATAGCTTTCCTGGCTTCTTGTCCACAGAGAGACGCAAAGGACATTTAAACTGATCTGTGACTGTTCTTTCCCACAAGCTTTTAGAAATCTTTGGTTTGATGTGAACATTTTTCAGTTCAAAACTATATATATTGTTATCACAGAATCATCACAAATAAAATTCACTTAACACAAACCTATTCCAAGGTGACTTCTTAAGACCTACAGATTGCCTCTGGATGTGAAGGGGTTAATTCTATTTTTTTGGACAAAGAGATACATTGCTTTGTTTAAGTAGCCTTGAACTCCCAAAAATATTCTTTATTAATCCAAATCAGATTAAAAACTATTTCCTATCTGATGCTGATAAAAATGGTCTTCAAACAATGGCTTGAACAGTCACAAAAGATTGATCAAATTGGATTGATTCTCTAGCAGGAAAAATATCTCAGGCATTTGACACTTGCTGTAAAAGAAGCAGCAATTGACATTGCAGAGATTGCTGAATAGCTGTAAATTAATCAGATTTAAAGACTGCATTTGGTAATTTAATCTGTATAAGGGAACTAAGGCCTAGCTCTAGCCCTATGAAAAAATAACAGACTCTTTTACTTTGAAGGTCCCTGATGGTGGCCTTGAATTGCTTCTAAAATTAATTCTTTGTTCAAAAGATCATTCATCCTCCATAGGAGCTGAAGGCTCCCTGTTTGTCTGGAGACCCAGTCATTTCTGGCTGTTTCAGGGTCTCCCAAAGTTGCAGTGTCAGACTTGATGTACAGCAGGGCAGCACTTCTTAGGATCGTTCCCTTAATATAAAAGGCTGCCATTTGACAGGAGTCAAAATTTACTAGCTTGTTATCCGAAATGTAAGGCATCTGTGGAGGGTAGAGCAGCCTTGGAAAATTCTAGATGCCCTTTCACACAGGGGAGTAATTTTTTGAGCAGCTAGTAAACTATCAGTAATGGCTTTCATTAATATCACTGTCATTGTCTAGATAAACCATTCTGGAGAAGATATACTGCCTGTCTGTTTTGAAAACACTGAATTACACTAGACAATTATTTTCCCTACTTCAAACAGAGCAATTCAATTAGTAATAATCTACACCCTCAAAATCCATAGAAGGAATCCATGCAAGAAACTGCAAGTCTTTCCTTGACTTCAAATAACCCACCACCAATAAGGCTGTTCAACCCTTGCACAACAAGGCACCGTTGCTGATTGGGACATTGAATACCTATGGCTTTTCATTTATTAAGAGTACTTATACCTGAGCCAGGAGCAAAGGACATTTGAGGGTACTTGCCCTTTGGCTGCTGGTTAACTGATGGAAGATGCTGTCTCTCAGAGTTTATTCGATAGTACATATATTTTGATTCTCCTAACAGGATTCCGAGAAGATGCAGAGATTTAAGGATGCAATTGCAGCTCAGACTAATTACACTATTCTGGTGAGTAAAACACTGCTTTGTCTGAATAAAGACTAATTAGTTTTCTCAAGAAAAGGACGAAGATACAATCATTAACTATTAAAGCACCAGAAAATATAGGCATCTCTAGGAAAGTAAGAAAGTACCTGCTATGCCACACCTATGAAAATTTCTAGTGGCACAAACACCCTCCAAATAGACATATTCAACTAACCTCACCTTAAAAAATACTTCCTGGAAAGCAAAACAACTAAATTCTGCATTAGACATCAGTGACAAGACCATCACTCTTGGGCATTAGCTCTCTTATTTAGAACTGTCATGGAACATGATACTCTGTATTCAACATATTTATGGGGAATGTGCATCCGTGAAATGTTTATGATTTGCATCTGTGTCATAATTAGAAGTCACAGACACAAATTAGGATTCCACTATTCGGTGCTGTACAAATTAACAATTAAAAATGGCCTCCATCTTAAAGAGCTTGCAATCAAAATTTAATAAGGGGTTTTTTTAATAAGTATTGACAGGTTTGCAAGGAGGAACAGTAGCCAGATGAAATAAGCCTTTATTCTGTGTGCTCTGTGATTAACACAAAATGTTAGCCATGCAGATAGCAAAGAAAAGTGACAAGGACAGCCGACAGCCTTATTAGGAAGAGACATAAGCAAGGCTTAAAAGTAACCAATTTAACTGCTGTGTAACACGCATGAGAAGTAGAACCCCACTGCAAAATCCAGATCTCCCAAATTTACAGGTATTTAGACCAGTAAGCTATAATGCTACAGATAAACTCAAGACAGCTGTAACACAACAGGAACTTTTTTTCTCCCCCAAAACTAACCATTTTTGTATTTCTTATGTTACTTTTCCCTAGAGGAGAGAGGTCCTTATCTGGGACCTGATCCTCAGACGGACTGGTATTTCAAAGTGCAATTTCTAATAAAAGTCACTAACACTGAGGGAATAATTATAGTAAGCTCTCTTTTAAAAACCTGAATGCAGTGTCTAATAAAAGGAAGAGACACCCTCCAGTGAAGAAATCTGTTTAGTATCAAAGTAAAGGTGGTTTCAAAGGTATATTCAGACCACTGGAGAGATGAAGTGTTGCTTTCAGGCAGGATTTGTTCCTAAGACTGTGAAACAAAAGAAGCAAGGAAGAAAAACAGTTTTGTGTTTCATGCATTGTGCTGGGAACTCACATCTTAGAAGCTGAGACTCCACGTCATCTCTAAAGCAGAGGCAAGTCTTACTTCAGGGCAGCTGTCTCACTTGAACCATCTCAGGGTAATCTCACAACAAACACTAGGTCACAACCAATGGAATTTCTGTACATCTCTTAAGGAAAAAAAAAAAAAGATAAAAAAATTCCATAAAATCCCCCCTCCAAGTCATTTCAGTTCCAGAAACTGTTATAAAATTCAGCCTCCAGTGTAGCTCATGGGAAAATATTAAAATCACCACTGGAAAAATAATTTATCTTTAAAAAAGGTCTCCAGCTATTTCTACTCATCAAGATTTCCTTTCTCTCTCAGAATAGCAGAATGTAATTTTTGTGCCTTTAAACTATGGGCAAGACTTACATGGTCTGACTAAATCGTGTGTAACAGGCTGAAATGTAATAGCTCCTAAGAAAAACAAAAAAATCTACTTCATAAAACAAAAAGCAATTTAATGATTTTATTTCCCCTTGTTAGGGCTTACTAGTAGCATTGCTATCTTAAATGTGGAGCTCTAAAATTCAATTTAGCACAGTTTTTTCCTATGCGTTGACTCACAGTTTATTTCGTTAGCCTGTCTCGGCCTCTCTTCAGACATGACATTGATCTATATTGCAAAAATGTCATTGCTAACAGCCTTATAAATCTTGTGTGATAGCAAAATATTTCCTTTGATTATCAAGTCAGTTTCCCTCTATGGGAAAAACAGCATAAGCACTGCCCTGATGTATGCTACATTTTTGCAAGCATCCTTGCTCCGTCTGGACTGATGAACAAATAGCCCCTTTGCCAGTGGGTGCCTATGCCTTAATAAGCCAAACAAGATTACACACTCCTGGCCCCCTGCTTCAGGCTCTTATTAGTGGTTAAAATGATTCTCCTCTTAAGAGGAAAAGCAAACTTGTGCTTTTCTTTTTTTTTTTTAATCTTTTTTTTTTAATTCCCCCCTTACGAGGAAAACCAAGCTTGTGCTCTTTTTTTAAATCCTGCCTTCTCTCAGGTTGCTTGTTTCCCTTGTAACAAGGGGCCTGTGCCACGGGGATATCAGTCTGCCCTCAGTGCAGTACCACACCCCTTGTTCAGCACTGCCTTCCCACATGACTTCAGCCTGTTACCAGGGGTGAGCTACAGCTCAGTCCTCATAATGAATGCTCTCACCAGTGAGAGTAAACTTAGACTGAAGGATTTTAAATGCACATTTCAGTCTGAGGCAAATCCTGCTTGGTTGGAACAGCTCCGTGCTGTTCTTCGGATGCCAAAATTTTGCTTTGGTTTCCTAAAGAAACAAAACTCTGTAACTATTCTGTCTGCCCATGACCCAGTACTGACTTTTGATCCTGTTATCCATCTTCAAACACATTTGCTAGCAGGGCAAAGATCTTACAGCTAATAAATTCCTTAAGTCTGTAACATTAGGTAGCTGGATGGAGCAGAGAGACCCAAGCATAGCAAGCTCATGGCAGAGGCTTACTGCAGGCTCAGCAGCAGCTCCTGTGAGCATGCCCCTGCTGCTCGCATTCAGGCACTGCACATGCTGCCGGTCACCTCACCTGTAACCATGAGACAGGAGAGGAAACTGGGGACATTTGGGAGCAGGGTTTGGGGGAAAGCATGTCTGGTTCTTCACTGGGGATGATGGTGAGCGGAGACACAGGCAAGCAGGATGGCAAGTAGACTGCTCTTGCTCTCCTGCTTGTCAAGGCACATTATTCTCCTTTGTTAAGCCCAGTTTAATTTGATTCTAGACTCATGGTCAATGGACTACGTACCATCCAACTATGCTGTCCTACACTTACTCTTTCCAATTGCCTCGTCAGAGTTAGGGCTAAATTAAGGGCTGCCCTGAGATAATCCAACACTGCAGTATCGCCAGCACAGGGAGACGGGGAGGGCACTGGCATATTTGGGCAGTGAATTAAATTGAGAAGGCATTCGTGTCCCTGACCTCAGTCTTCTGAGTTGATGGGGTGTGCTAGTAGATCTGCGATAGATCACTAGTGGATCTATCTTGTTATTCTGTGATCATTGTTAAATCTGTTGCAGACATCTACCAGATCTTTGGATCTAAATTCTATGGAATGACACATGCTTTACCTGCCAGAGCAAGATGCAGGCAGCAAGGCATGAAAGATTAATTTGTTCCAATTTTTAGGTGTTTTGGAGCCTCTTCTCTTGAAATATAATGCAAGTGACACATAGGAAATTCCAAAACACACTTTGAGATTTCTTGTGTTCCATAAACTCCCCTCAGCAGCTTTGGAAGCCCAGCCCATGATACTCCTCTCTGAGAGATGACAAACACCCAGAACACCAGACAACATCAGCACATAGTACATCTCAAGACCATCTCCTTCCTAATTTTTACATCTTCAGAGCATCATATGAATTTCTAGCTACTGATCATCAAAGTGCATACTCAGAGTAATATCTGAATGTTACAGGCATTACATCACTCAAACCAAGTTCATCAACTCTGACCAGAAAACAAGGCAGTAACAGCTGAGAAAATGTCTCCATACTCAGTTAAATGCTGGTGTCTTATCATGTTGTACACAGGCTATTACTGGAATGGCAATAGACAATCACCTGCTAGGGCTCAGAGAGGTGGCACGGGAACACTTCAAGGAACTGCCAGAGATATTTACAGATGAGACATATTTGACAAGCAATAGATTCATTCTCTCGACCAGCCAGGTGAGTTTCTTCTGTTCACCGGTCTTGCTAAGCAAAGGCTAATTCATTTGTGTTCTGCCAGACCTTGTAGGTCACAGTGAGAATGATGCATTAAAAAAAAAAACGAAGCTGATACTGTCAAGAAGTCTGGAAAATTCTCCAGATTTTTAATCCAGTTTTGGTTCATTCCTGAAAATCAGCACAGTAAATACTGACTGAAGTTAGCAGTTCCCTTGCAACATCCCAAAGCCCTTCCTGGAAATGTACACAAACAAACTCAGTAAAATTTTTATGAGAGCTCAGTGTTTCCTCACTTTCCAAACTACATATCTTCCCATTCCCTTTCTTCTCCTCCTTCCCCTAAGGTGACAGATCTAGTGGGAATTCTTTACGCCAGTGGCAGTACAGCCACAAGCCAGACAGGCTGCCACTCTGAGAAACAAGAGCCATGAGGAAATTTTACTCTTAAAAGTATCTGTGTTTGAAATCTTTGAGAGCCTTCAGCTACTCTGTGTAAGACTGCAACATCTGCAGGCATGCATCCTGGATTTACAGGCATTTTAGACATTTAGAGAATTTTACAGATTTACAGTTATTTGCAGTTACACTAAGATACTCGAAGAGTCAGCATTTCCTACATTTAATATTCGGAATAAGGAAACATCTTTATAGCATACAGCCTATAAATTAAATGTTTCATTGCATATAGTAGCAGTCCTAATGAAAGAAGAAATCTATGTAGGAATTAATTTACTGAAACACTAACCCAACTGCACAGATTGGAACTATGCAAAAGAGACTTATAATATCATGCTATGGCATAAAACCTTAATAAGTAATTTGATCTCCTCATAATGTTTGTAGGCTTTCAGACATGAGTGAATGAAACAAACATACTACTACATAAATTCTCCAAAAAACTATCCATGAGCAAAGAGTGTTTCTGAATAGCTTTATGGCCTTCGGCTGTTGCACAGCAAATTTATCTGACAATTCTATGGCTCTATTAGCAGGACTAATGGCTTGTTCTACACCATTAAAAAGCCAAATGTCATTTGTGAAGGCCCATGTACACAAAGTCTGAAAGATACAGATTTCTAACACATCTTTCATTTTCTGCAGTAGAAAGTGTTTCAGTCCTGTATTATGCCGTGATTTAACTGAGGCATATAGAAATATAACACCTAGATGCATTAATATGTTTTTATACAGCATCACAATTAAAAATTATTAGAAATGGACAATACTACCTTCTATAATTAAATGCGGTCTTCACATTACAAGCTTAACATAACCTTAAGATATTAAAAACCTTGATAAAGTTTTATGTATCATAATTATTTATCATAATTTTATGTATCAGAATTACACACAGCCCTACAAATTCCCTATCTATCTAACAAAGCTTACAACTGTTTAAGATCCAAGCAAAAAAATGCATTACATTCACTTCAAATTATACCAGTTTTCAAACACTAGCAAACAAACAGAGCAAAAAAATTCTGTACTGAGATCAGCTTTTATCTTCCAAGTGCCAGCTCCAGGTCTGGACTTCTGAAGGAGGTGATATTCTACAAGGGGCAGTCACCACATTTCCAGCATTTGTAGCATTTGTTTGTCTTTTCCTCGTTCCTAACCAGCTGATTTCAGGTGCCCTGATTAATCAGAGATTACTCCTTACCTTCTCCCTGCAACCAGGTTCCAACTACTACGGAAATGTTCTGCTGCTATGGGCCTGTGGTGCCCAATGGTTATGGGGCATGTTATAACCCTCAGCCAGAGCATATATTATTCTGCATCTCAAGCTTTAAAGACTGTAAAGAAACCTCCTCAGACATGTTTGCAAAAGCTGTGGAAGAAAGTCTCCTAGAAATGAGAGATCTGTGCAGCAAATGCGACTCTACTATGGCAAAGCCACTTGCTAAACAAGAAGCAGCCACACAGCTGCAGGGTGACCGCAAACTCTAAGAGGCTGTGGGGAATTACTCTCCTGAATTCACCTGATGAAGAAACAATGACATAGTTGTTCAAAGGCAAGATAGTACTAGTAATATATTAGTGTAGAACCAAATGTAATTTGTTTTACATTGTTGCCAACAGTTAAAACCTTGTAAGTACTAAATCTACCATTTCTTGCATGAGAGTCAGCGAAAAAAGTTTGGTCTCACTGGCTGAAATGAAGGAAGAAGTAATACGAGTATGTGTTGCACTACCATTTCTAATCATAATCAACTCAGGCCGTTTTCTCACCTAAAAAATTAAGTTTGTGTATGACATAACTTAAATATTAAGGCATACCAATTAATTAATATCCCCTGCAAGTAGTTCCAAAATATTCACATCTATTTCCTGCATGTAAAGGAAAAAAAAAAGACATTTCCTCCATTGGGAATGTTGAGAGTTACATTGTACATAATAGGCTGATGCCATTAAAGCTTGAAAATTTGCACGAAGAGCATTTAATACAACCATGCTATTTCCTATACAAGAAAAGCAGAGTATTTTTAAGAGTGGCTGCTGTGTATTTCCACAAACAGAGTTTAGGAGGATTATACTACTGTTTGCATGTTCCTCCAATTCAAAAATGTTGCAGAAGTAATTTAGCCTTTATTCTGGTTTGCACTGGCCTCAAGCAGAGTCCCATTCTGAACGCAGCATATTGGAGATAAGATCTGTCAGAGAGCACTGGGAGAATTTTGTCCATAATAAACTGACTTAATTATTTCTTTCTAGCAGTGAGCAAAATCTGGTCTGACAGAGAGACAAAGCACAAGTGCAATTCAATCCTACTTCAGACCTTTTTCGTTTGCACAGAAATGAATTTAGTCACTGTGACTAGCAGGAAAGCGTATGCAACCACACGAAATCAAAGAGCAATAAATAACTAGAATGAAGAAGCAAACTGTCAATATAAGGAATTCTCCAAGCTAGAGCTATAAATACTAGTACTGGTACTCATATCAGCTTTGCATCATCCCACTTGGGAGGGACTTATATTTTATATTTTTTAATAGTAGATGTAGGACATCATATTCTGCAATATACAGTAAATTCAATCAGGAAAATAATATCTGTACCAGAGTATCTGGTAATTGCCATATTCTCTGAGTGTTATCCCGAGGGTTTTCTCATTATCTCTTTCATTCCCTACAAACCCTTCCAAGGACTGGTATTTTCAGTTACCTTCCCTCAAGCTGAAATACGTTCGTTGCCTTGCATAGAGGAGTTCAGTCATCATTGTTAGAATACAACTTACTCACTGACTAAAGGCACACACTTACTAACTCCAGTGCAGATCCTTTGCTAGGCAAGCTGGAGCACTCTTGGAAGCCTGGCCAGGGGCTGCTTACTTGCCTGTGGAGAAGCGGAGACCATTCTTCTTCCTTTGTAGACTGAACAATCACATGCTTAAGCACTCTCAAGCCTAAAAGCAGGAGAATAAACTTACTACAACAAACTATAAGCGCAGACACATTTCTGTCTAAGAACTCTAGATACAGATTCAGTAGATTATGTATGTCCATGCTTATTTTACTACCTCTTTGGAGTTGCATACATGCAATTAAGCAGTCTGCTGGATAAAGGCTATCCATAACTCCATACATGGAAGCACAGTGGGCCTGATAATCAATTGGAGCAAGTCAGCTATGTTGGAGCAAATCAATCGATTTACAGCGATTGAGAGCTGGGCTCATTTTTCTAAAGATTATGCGTTCATTTAAAAATATGTATGTTTCATTACTCCTTGAGCTGTGGTTCAAACCAAAGATGAAATCTATTTTTGATTATATAAAATATTATGGCATAAAAGCTGCCCCAAAGTTAAAATGTAAAAAAATAAATTAAAAAAAAAAAATCAACAAAACCGATAGTCAAACCAAATGTTCACTTCATGAATATACTGTTCAAAATATGACTTTAAATTGTTCCTATACTATAATTACAAAAATTATTTTGAAACATTCCCAGTAATTTTACTTTGTTGTCTCATGCCACTACCAAAGCATTCTGCATTTCTAACATAAACGTAGCACTGCAATCTCAAGATTTTTTCATAGAACTGTATATTTAAAATTATAACCATATTTTAATTGTATAAAAATGCTGTGAATAATTATTTGATTATTTGTTAATTTGCTTCTAATGAAATATATAATTTTATTTTGTATTATCCCTAGTTCCATAGGTACTGATATTTATTTGCAAATATTACCTGTGCTTTCATTTCATTTTTTTTGGCTGGAATTTTAACAGTAGCTCAGACACTGTACTCAACACACAGTCACTGAGAATTCATGCAAAAACTACAAGCATACCAATTTATCATTAAGATCCCCTTCCTTGTCTACAGCTGCCATAACAGGTGTTTTGGATTCTCCAACACTGGAAAATACTGACACCACATTTTTACTTGAGGAAGACACCAATGACCACCCATACTGCCTATTTATTTAGCTAGCCATTCCATGCTCGTATCTTAGATAATTACTGATCTGGTTTCAGTATTCGGCCTGAATACCAGAGATGAGCAGCTTCAATGAACTCAGTCCCTCCAGAGGAAGGCGTTTGCATACATGCTTAACCTTAGCCATTACCCATGCTAAAAGCAGTATATGCAAAGTACCTTTGTTCAAGAAACTGAAAGCTCAGTTCAGGTATGTTTAAATTGGAGAGTCCTGCCTGATTAAATTACAGATGGATAAGACTCACAGCATTAGAAACTTCTCACTTTATCAGCAGGAGCTTCAGAAAGGACTGTGCTGCTCCTCAGCTAACAGAATCCCCTACACCTATGTGGTATGATCCCATGTTGCAGCTGCATCTGTTAAGGATTTCAGGATATAGGTCGTTTTCTTAGATACTTATTTAAAATTATTTGTATTATAAAAATTAAGTTCTTTTCTGAAGTTTAAAAACAGTCAGTCTGTACACATGCACTTACAGAATCAAATGTGAAGCTTTTAAAATGCTTCCAGCCAAAAAACTATGGAATAGATTGTTCATTGTAAAAAGGGACAAAATCTTGATTGACAGACTAAGTGTAATTACATGAAGGTAACAAGCGGCAATGGTTTAATGATACCTCTTGGTGGGACCTGGGACATACAAGCCCCCTGCAAGAGAATTTTAAGCAGGTAATTGTTTCACTCTCTCTGTAGGTGTACACCCCCACACACAGAGTAGTGAGCTTTAGCAATTCAAAAGCCAATTCTTGTGAACTTCTGTATTCATGGTGAAACTTTGTTTCAAAACAGCGGTGGTTTAAGGGTGTGAGAACCTGACCTCACTCCTCTGAGTGTTGTCAAAGCCCCTGTGCCATCTGTAATTAAGCAGAACACGGTTGCGACAACACAGTTGAACTTCTTCTGGCGTATAAGTTGTGGAAGACAAAAAATTATTTTAGTGATACTTTTATTTTTATAAAATAGTATAGATTTATGACAAATGTAAATGTCTATTTATAGCGCATTTTGTTTGTTATGTTTTGTGCTCTATTGAAATGTATTTGTCTGTCTATATTAATACATAAAACCTGAAGTGTACGCTGGTACCACGAATTCAGTTTACCGCAAACGGAGCTCCGCACCGCAAATAAAAACTACCGGAGGAAAGACCCTGCTGCCGCTCTGT